TAGGGTTTTTCAGTTTTGGGAACAGAAAAAAGTCGCATGGGGCTAAGTCCGGTGAATATGGTGGCTGAGGCATGATTATGGTGTTGTTTTTGGCCAAAAAATCTCTCACAAGCAACGATGAGTGAGCAGGTGCATTATCATGATGCAAAAGCCATGAATTGTTTTTCCATAATTCCGGACGTTTTCTTCGTATTGCTTCTCGCAAATGACGCATAACTTCAAGATAATACTCCTTATTGACCGTACGACCTTGTGGTAAGAACTCCTGATGCACTACGCCACGACAATCGAAGAAAACGGTGAGCAAAACCTTGACATTTGATCGAACTTGGCGTGCTTTTTTCGGTCTTGGCTCTCCTGAGCTCTTCCATTGGGACGATTGAACTTTGGTTTCGATGTCATAACCATATACCCATGATTCGTCACCAGTTATGACCCTTTTGAGCAAATCAGGATCATCATTGACGTCATTCAACAGCTCCAGAGCGATGCTCATGCGACGATTCTTCTGGTCAAAATTAAGCAGTTTCGGAACAATCTTCGCTGACACACGTCTTATGCCCAAAATATCCGAAAAAACTTCATGGCACGAGCCAACCGATATGCCAACATCCTCAGCAACTTCTCTGATAGTGATTCGTCGATTTTCCAAAACAATTTTCTTCATTGCTTCAACGTTTTCATCTGTTGTTGACGTGCTGGGGCGTCCAGAGCGAGGTTCGTCATTGGCATCTTCTCGGCCATCTTGGAAAAGCTTGTACCACTTATAAATGTTATTTTTACTCAGAGCGGACTCACCGTATGTTACNCGTTTTTTTTACTCAGAGCGGACTCACCGTATGCCACTGTCAACATTTCAAGTGTATTAGAACACTTAATTCCATTTTTGACACAAAATTTGATACAAATTCTTTGATCCATTTTTTTTGATAGCAGAAAATCGCCGAGCACACCAAAATACGTCTAATCTTTGTATCTGTCAAAAATAAACTAAATATGTAATATACTTGAAACTGTGTACAGATGTTCGGTACGAGTGTACCAAAATGACATAAAAAAAAATCTCATCATCGAACGGACGTAGCCCGCGAAATTTGAAAAGTCACCTTACTTTTTGAACACACCTCGTATGTCTTACGACTACACTTACCTTGATATCCAAATGGACTCGTAGGTAGTTGATGAATTGTGATGTTCCTTCTTGACATTGATATTTTAAGTTAAATTAAATAAATAAAATGTACTGTTATGAGGAGCAACATACTGAGTTATTTCTATGATTTTTATTAATTATTTTAACAAATGTATATAAGTCTTATAATTAAAATTAACAAAAGTAACATGAATTTTACATGGGGGATTAATAAGTGAGAATATGCAAATGTGTGTTGTGCTAATTTTACTAGCCCTTTTATATTAAACTAGTTGGTAAGTTGATGAAGGGAGGCTAGTTTTTCTTAAGAATGTAACGTGACAAAATGTGAATTTTTATGATATAGATAAATTTACTTTTTTTAAGAGAAATCTTCAAAAGTAGTTTGGTGTTTTTTATAGTTAATGTGAAGGTGAGGAAATATTCTGTGATTTATGATTAAATATTGACTACTATATATGATATGCAGCAAAACGTTCATAATATGGATAATTGATTGAAGTCTTAATAAATTATAGAGGTTTGATTATATTTTAAAATTAAAAAAAAAAATTAAAATTTTTTTTTTTATTTAAATGTAGAATACACATAATAGTAATAATATTAATAATAATAATAATAATAGTTGTATGGTTACCGTGCCATTAAAATTAATGTTATAATTAACTTAAATTATTAATTAGTTAGAATTATAATTTAAATACTTAACAAATATATTGTTTAAATAATGTTTTATAATTATATTCTACTCCAATTTGATAATAAAATTTCATATGGTATGATCAGTTAGCTTATAATATTAATAGTTGACGTTAAGTTTAGTTTTATTTAAATTTAAATCTTACGAATAAAATTATTCGAACTTATTGCTAAAAAGAAAGTTATTGTTTAGACGAATTAGGCATATTAAGATTGAAACTTATTATGTAAAAGTATTTAACTAAATTAATAAGAATATTCCTTAAAAATAAACATATATTACTTCAAAATATATAAATATAATTTTTTTTTTTAAGAATTATGATTCTAAAGTTTAAAACTTAAAACATGGAGTCTAAAATTATACTTAGATCTAAGATATATTTTCAAAAAAATCTTAATTTTAAAATTGTTTTGATTGAATAATACTTAAGGAAAGTGAATTTTTTTTTTTAAGTTTAATCTAAAAGTTAAATTAATAGTTCCTACATATATATAATATATATTATATATATACGTGACAAAGTATAGATAATCACTATATTTAAACTAGTGTTTCGTGTCATTTGAAATATTTTAATCAGAAGTATTTGAGGAACTGTATTCAGTTGTGCTATTGTATGAATTTAAGAAATTGTTATATCCGGAGTTATCTAAAAGTATGTATATTGAACATTTCATTAATGCAATATTATTTTTTGGAAATAGATTTCTCCCTTCATGTGCTTCATTACAAAATGATGAATGTGCATCTTGTAGAGAGAGCTCATGTTTATCATTGTGGAGTCTACGGAATTGCATTATTGCTAGAATGGTAACTTTTTGCGTTGAATAGGTTTCTAGAATTAATTGATGATTACCATTGTTGAAAGTGTCATATGCTTTGAAATTAATTATGTTGAAAAGAGGGTTAAGATAGTCTATGGAAGTTTCTAGTGCTTTATTGCAGTTCCATACAATAACTACTAGCCAAGAATTATTTTAATTAGATATGTAAGCCATGACTGTTGGTTGATTTAATATTATAGATAGTTTTCATATTTTTTTTTTAATTGCTGAATTATGTGATGTGGTCTCGGTATATTTTCTCGAATTTTTTTTATGCATAAATGTAATCTGTTATGTTTTAGTGAATTTATTTGTAATGTTAAAAGCTGCGGTTTTCCTCTCAATTTGTAAATATTACATTGTCCTTGGAATAAATTAGTTATTGCTCCTCCGATGATCACTTTTCCAAGTTCGTGTAAGTTAATTATGGTTAGGACAATTAAAAAAAAATCATATGATAAAGAGGTAGCCATTATAAATTGGGGTGATAATTTTATTTAGAATAGAAATGAATAAGAGTAAAAAAAAAAAAAATGCACGAAACTAAGAGAAGAAGAAGACTGGTTGGTCAAATTATGTATTAATAGAAAAAATGATTAGAACTATTTAATTATTTAATTATTAGAAAGTTTTATCTGTATCGTATTGTGAAGTGTTTTTCTAGAGCTAGTGTTCGCTTTGATGGTGTCTATAAAACTAAGGATTCAAAATGTATTGAAAAATTGGGCAACTAGTGTTTTTTTATAGGTCCCTCTTTTGTATAGATTTAGGTTGTGTAAATATCGGGAAAGATTTTTTTTTATGATTTACCAATAATGTTGAATGAGATCTTAGATTATTTATTTATTCCATTGCTGAATTGTAGTGTTAAAATTAGTGAAATCTAATGAGTGTATAAGATTATTTAATATACATGTTGTTATTTTTACATTGTTTTTTGAGTTAATTTTTCCTAAATGCGTATTAGCGCGTAACAAGTTGTGCGTTTGATGTAATGTTAATTTTTTTTTTGTTTATTAAAAACATCAGATATTTCAGTAATTGCTACCAACGTGGTTTTATCTAGAGAGAATATTTCTAATATTAAGTAAAAATTTCCGTCATTAAAGGAGTCTATACATTTTAGATTTAAGATAAGATTCTTTGGGGCTAGTAATTGAAGGGTATAGTATTTTGCTTCAGTGCAGTCCCAAAGTATAATTGCTAGTGTAGTTTTCGGAACATTGATATGTTTCAATATAGAAGATTTATTTATTCATTGATGCTTTATATTTATATCGTAGTACTTCTTGTGNCTTGATGCTTTATATTTATATCGTAGTACTTTTTGTGGAAATGGTAGATGCTTTTGAAATGCATTCTCGTATTCAGATTTCCATGTGAAAAAGAATGCATCCAAAATAGGATGCATTCTTTTTTATTAGTTCAAGTAGTGGAGAAGCTATTTTTGAAAAATCTTTTTTTAATCGTCTATAGTAACTGTACATGCCTAAAAAGCTTCGAATTTGTTTTGGAGTTTTAAGTGTTTCAAATTCAGTAACAGCTGATATATTTCGAGACAGAGGTGTTATTCCGAGCTCTGAAATGACATGTCTTAGGAGTTCTATATTTTGTGCAAATAGGTTACATTTCGATGTCTTTATAGAAAATGAATAATTATCTAATTATCTCAATATCACAAATTAGGTCTACGGAAGAAAATGCTATGAAAGGAAAATTTTCTTCTAAAGCGATATTTTTTAAATTAAAGAGACTTTTGAAGAGATCTAAGTATGAAGCCTGAGAATCGCAAAACTCTTGTTATTAATAAGTGTATTATTTTATCATATATTATTGTGTTTACTTGACCTAAATATATGTTAGTATTTTTTAGGAAATCCGTTATGTTACCAAATTTATTAGTAACATTTTCAAATGAGTTAAATCTTCTGTTCCTAATGATCCTCGTTCCTTCTCTCTTAATGTTTTTGTTTTGTTGATAAATGATCGCAATCTATTATATGCTGTAGACAGCTAAAACTAAATAATGATTAGTTTATATTTTTAAATTGTTGAGATTTGACATTTGTTTGCTACATTTAATTTTGATGATAATTTAAATATATCAATAACATATAATATGTTAAACATAAATTATACTATAAGTATACATAAATAGTATCTTTCCACTTTACAAATCTTATATGGTACGACAATGTAATCTACTCTTCTGTAGTTTTCTCCACTGTGTTTTTCTTCCAACCCGTAAACGTTGACCGACACGTTAGGATTATTTTTTTTTAATTTGCTTACTTGTTTTAATGTCACCGGGTATGTCAATCTTGAAAAATTATATTTTCTTCGACGTTCGTGTAATTACACGATTAGCATTTAGTGAGTTAACATTTTTTGCCATTATACTATATTTAAAACATAAATCATCGTTATTCATTACATTGATTGTTGCCTTACGGTTTTCAATACAATCGGGTAACTTTATATATGAAGAACCACCAAGCGGAGTGAACTTATATACACAGAGTTATAATCCATCAACTGTGTCCATTGTGCAATTTGAACCCTTACCACGGTAGACCTCTTCTTCATTTAATAATTTAGCAAACTCCTCGTCGATTATATTACTCAAATCGTTTATATCACCAATAACAAGTGAACGGGCAGACGTTTTAAAAGACCTATTTTCTTCAATAATTGTGTGCGGGACGCTGTATGTACCCTCAAGTTTAAGCCCAAATTTAATCGCATTTTCAGAGACTAACTCCACCAATAAATTAATTAATTCGGGTTTTGTCTCATCAAGGAATTGTTGATATTGAGGGCATAGATTCAGATTCTTTTTATAAAATATTTTAGCCATACCTCCAAAAACAGTTTGAATTAAATTAAATCCTGGGGCTTTGACCATATTTAATCGTTGGCGTTTGCTTCTTCGAGCGTTTTCAGAATTTTCAGTGTTCGATGTATTGTTAAATTCAGCCTGTAAGCAAATGTCATCCGCTTGTTCTCCACCCCATAAGTCCATGTCTTCATCAGATTTACGTTTGTTATTTATTGGAATAACGCCAGGTCCTACAATAATAATAATAATAATAATAATNAGATTTACGTTTGTTATTTATTGGAATAACGCCAGGTCCTACAATAATAATAATAATAATAATAATCATTATAAATAAATAAATATATTATATTGCAGTATTTAGAACTTAATTTTGTATTAAATTACCTTGATATGTAGAAGACGAGGGTATATATCGGTGATTATTATCGTAATTTGATGTATGGGTTATAAAACTTGGTCGAAGTTGTTCCTGTTGTTGATCTCTTAATAGAATTTCATTTTTTTTATTATTAACAACTGAAAAAAAATATATATATATATTAGAGTGGCCCTCAAAAATCGAATGTCTTTTTTTTTTACGCTACCCCTTAATTTTTTTTTAATGGTCAAAAAAATGAGCTGTGCAAAATTTGGGACCGATCCGTTAAGGTTAACCCGTGCCCCCGGGCCTATTAAGTTGAGTCGAAGAGTCAAATTTAATAGAAATAACTGATCTATGTCTCATAACTTTTTTTTCTCTTAACTTAGAATTATAAAAGTAAAACTCAAGTAAAGGAAATTTTACAAGAAATTCAAAAATAATAACTTCAATGTTGTTTTCTTAATAAATAGCCCACAAAAACACTACATACAGTAAAAAAACATGTAAAAGTCTTAAAATACGTTATAACTGATTTTGTTGATTTTTAATTATTTATTTTCATTTTATTTTTTGGAAAACTAATATTCGTTTAAAAAATGATTCTAGAAGTTTAATTTTTTATGCCAAGTACGATAATTATATTAGATTTATTATTTTATGGACAGTTAATTAATGATTAATTACAAACCTAACAGTTTAATTTAATTGTTATTAACAATTTTTATTTTTTTTTTTTTTTAAATAATAATAACTTTAAAAAAAATATTTTAACAATAATTAAATTATATTATTATAATATATTTTTTGATAATGTACTTTTTTTACAATTAGGAATTTTTTTCCGATAATTACTTACTATTTGTAAAATGTATTGTTTCTATTCTTCATTTGTAGTTAATATGTAATTTGTAGTAATGTAGTCTTAGATTAATTTAATGCCACGCTAGGCTGTATCATTAATGACTCGTAATTTACTTATAGTATTTAAAGCATTTATGTAACTGTTGTTCGCACTCCAAAATGATGGATCAATTTTCAAAAAATCAGTGTTCAGATTAAATAGTTGTAAATTTGATGGTAACTTACTACCAGTTATTTCGTGGGAATAATTACCAATAAGATAAATATTAGTTCGTAATACTTTAAAAGACGCTAAAAGTATTGTACATTTGTGATTAAAACGTATCATTTAATATATAATAATAAACAGGTAAAATATATTTAACGTGTTCACAAATTGTCTGCTGCATTTATACGACACAAATTATGTCAGTTGTCGAAAATAACTCAAATATTCTTATCTTTAATAATAATATAATTGGTACTATCTTAAAGTAATTCAGTAAACCAAAATTGATGTATTGATACGACAAAATGTAATAATACAATCAATTTTGTTAAATTTGTAATTAATCATTAATTAACTGTCCATAAAATAATAAATCTAATATAATTATCGTACTTGGCATAAAAAATTAAACTTCTAAAATCTTTTTTTAAACGAATATGTGTTTTCCAAAAAATTAAATGAAAATAAATAATTAAAAATCAACAAAATCAGTTATAACGTATTTTAAGACTTTTACATGTT